GATGTCGAAATATACATCGATCTTTTAAAAAATATCAATATCGGCTTCGATATATCGCGAAAAAAACATCGATATATCGGACCAATTTTCCCAAAAATATCGTACAGTAGCTCACGAAATATGACATGCGGAATAATAATGGAACGAAAATTATCGCCCTAAAAATAGACCCTATTTTCGAATTATGACATAGACAATACTAAATACAGCACAGATCATAGATATGTTGAATATCATTAATCTGAGATCCAGTTACGATTTTTCCAGATAGGAATTTAGTTAAATCGTGATATGCCGCTAATAATTAAAAAAATATCGTTTTTGATACGAATTTCGATATTGGTTATTTTGTATCGATGTAATCGATATATCGAATCAAAATATATCGGCAAAAGATATCAATATATCGAACAAAAAATATCGATATATCGATATATTTTCAACAAGCCTACCTTACAGTGCTTACTTTGGGCCTAAGCTAATTGGTGTGAGTGTTGGAAATATTTATTTATTATTATTTATTTAAAGAAATGGAGCCAGTATTCTCCTATAAAATGTCTTCTCTTTATCTTAAACTACATGTTAATTATGTTGTAATCTGACAATGTCAACTTCCATAGCGTGCTATTTCTAAATTTTTTAGAGCACAAAGGTTCGCACATCGTTTTCGTTGAGTCCGTGACATGTTCTCGGCGGACATTTTCTTCACGATTCAGGGATTTCGGGCTTTCGCGGACAGAAGTACTGCGTCTGCGCGGGCCATTAGGCGGACAAAAAAGTCCGCGGATAAAAGTCCCTTGTCTGCGCAAGCTATTATGGTTCTAAAGTATGACATTAACTCTCCAGAGGGCGCTGCAACGATGCAAAAATAAATACCATTTATCTTCAAAACAGATACGAGTAAATCTTTATCTGTTAAAGTTTGTTGTTTGCGATAATTCTTCGATAAAAACAATTTTTTTTAAAAAACACATTTTTTTTTGAAAAAGGACATAATAGATAGTTTCTGACGACCTCCGTGGCCGACTGGTTTGTACGCCGGGTTTCATGGCTGTCGCCGACTCGAGAGGTGCCGAAGGTTCGAAGCCCGGTGGGGGACAAATGTGTGTGTGGTGAATACGAGCATTTGTACTCCAGTCATGGATGTTTAATATGTATTTATATAAATATACTTATATATGTACCGTATATGTATTCTATCCGTTACCCTAGTATCCCATAACACAAGCCTTACAGTGCTTACTTTGGGGCTAGGCTAATTGGTAGAGTGTCGGAAATATTTATTTTTTATTTAATTTTTTCACTGTTATCTTGAAGTCCTGGATCTGGACATAATCAGAACACTGGAGGAGCAAAACAAAAACCTTAAGTTATTAATGTAAGTAAACCGTTTTTAACTACACTCTTCAATTTTTGATTTAAGAGAGCACAGCGTAGTTTCCGCTCTCATTGGAGAGCCTGTCTGGGGAAGCAACGTCCACCTTGCTGAAGACCATAGTATAATATCACTACTTTGGGTGCTGTCGTGTTTCTGCTGGTGAGTGTGGCGTCCGTCCCATGACCCTACCCGGGGGGTCCCTCGCTGACCGGCATGGCGTCCGCTGTGCCGACCCCGTGACGGCAGCCCCCCTTGTAGTTCCATCCTGCAAAGAGGGGGGCAGCGGAGGGAGCTACACGCCCAAGTAGCCCAGAATACACTGAAGCTCCCGTTTTCAAACTTGAAATTGGTATCTAATTCTCCACACTCCATGATAATTAAAATTTATAATCACATACCCAAGGAATAGATAAAACTTATTAATAAATCATATTATAATATATTAGAGTTTTTCCAAGATAAACATATTTGATATATAATTTTAATGACGTAATAAAAAAACTTAATTAAACTTCATGACATACCTCTATATTATATTATATTAAAAATTCTGAGTGTGAAAATTGTATATTAATATCTATAGTTTTTAAATTGTAAAATATATGTATTTTTTAATTTTAATTTTGGTAAGATGCACGTTTAATAATTGAATTGATTTTTTTTATAATATATTCGATTGTTTATTTAAATAATAATAATAATTTAAGTAAAATTGCAACGCCCTTGCTGGGTGTCACATGTTTGTACAGGTTACGATAATGTTGTTTCTTTGGACTATCTGTGGCATGCAATAAAGAATAAAGAACTTGATGGCCCTCCGCATCGGACGGGGGGCGGTACGGTGGGCAATGAAACTGAAACTAGCAGCCGACATTTTCTTGAGACTTTTTTTTTTTCAACTAAACTTATTAGAGTATCTTGGCTGGAAGTACAACCACTATTTCTTCGCCCTAAAAAGAAGTTCTGGGGAAAATATCAACAATTTCGTATGTGTAGGAGATGAGATACAGCTTTTAAAAAAATAATAAATCATTTTTAGGTGAGGAGATAATACCTAAACATAAAATCTTAATGATGTCGATTCTGGCATGATTCTCTAAAGCTAAACTTAAATTTGACAACAGTGCATCCTTGTCATTTTCTATGTAGAATGACAAGGAGAGACTGATGTTAAATTTAGTTTTAAGTTTAGAGAATGACGCTAGAATCGACAACAGTATCATGATAATTTTTAATATTATTTGTAATTTCGCAATGAAAAATTCTAATATTTAAAAAATATAGGGCCCAGGCCCTATCTTCTATGTTTCGTCCCTGTCGGCTGCTAGCTGGTGGCTGCTAGTTTCAGTTTGATCGGTGGGCACTAGGCCGCGTACTCAGCCTCCGCGCGCGGGCCATCCTGCGCACGTCTGCGGGGTCCCCGCGATACCCCGGTAGACCCCTGCCGCGGAGCCCCGGCTAGGCCCGGAGGCTGCTATATGCGAAGAAGCGGAAGAATCCCAAAACGGGGATCCCGCGGCTTCGCGCTAAGCAGCTTAGAGGGTATTCACAGGGTTATTTTGCCTGCGTATAAAAAATTAGGTAGGTGTATTCAGCCCGTCGAGGGGGGATGCCTTCCGGGCATCCCCCTGACCGTTAGGAGGAGGAGGAACCACTGCCGGGGGTAACATGGAAGAGTCACCAGGATCCCGCGAAACCCGTTCCGGCAAGCGAGGAAGCACAATTGGGTGTTTAGTGGGTAGGTTTTCAGTGGTATTTTCTAGGAACGGTGATTGTTCATAGATGCGATCGTTGTAGTTAAGCAACTTTCGCAGTGGTCGGTCATTGGATGGGTGACCAAAAATTTCTATGTCGAGTTCCTCCGTGCTTCGGAAGGCACGTTAAGCCGTTGGTCCCGGTCGCATCTGCAGTCGTTAGCACCCGCTAATCCGCACTGGGCCCGTGTGGTGGGTCTTGGCCCAATCTCCCTATTCCATCCATAGGGAAGGCCTGTGCCCCAGCAGTGGGGACATTAACAGGCTGATGATTATGTGATTGTTTATGGAAGTATCACATAAAAAAACAAAAAAAAAACTGTAATAAGATAAATAGGTTTGCGTGTATGCATTGTAGCGGTTAAATCAACTTGAAACCAAAACGCAGCCCTGATGGCTTATTGAACAAATGGTAAGCCTATCAAAGACCTAACCCAAATAATGTAGTCTGGAGGAAATAACATGAATTCGTGTAGTTTAATTTTATGTTGTCAAATATTATATTTCCTTACTTCGCTGTAAGTACATTTATTTACAAACTGATAAAATAATTTTCTGTCTGTCATAAGCATCTGATTATCGTAGGCTGATAAACGACTTTGTTTTTATTGTAATAAAGTTGTTTTTCTGAGAAGTTTTCCGCCGGTCCCTCTTGTATATGGCGATGTTTTAATGGTAACAGTGGATTTGGAAAGTATAGATAAATAAAAGTAGGTAAATCTATTTGTCTGTATTTTCGTCTGGGTGTTGCATTTTCTCGCTAAATCACCGAATCGAATTTAGTAAAATGTACTACTTACGTTATACCATGCACCAGGTTTAACGTTAAGAAAATATATTTTTTGTAATATAAAAGCACTCTTTGATACTTGATTTTATGAATTTAAGGTGAACGTCGTGTTTACTAAATATTTGAATGGTGTGTTTATTACGAAAAAATATTTTTTTTTTAAATTTTTTAAGCATATAACTGCTCGATGTTTAAATCTAAAGAAAAATATTACTAGAAAAAAATCCACGCCACGATAGCATAATGGTCGGTGCATTCGCCCGGATAGCAAAGCGTGCGGGTTCGAGTCCCGTCTGCTGCTGCTGCCGTCCGCATGGATTTTTTTGTAGTTATATTTTTCTTTAGATTGAAAGTGTTTTTACTATCTATTCAGATTAATTTGAAAAGACTTTATAACATTCGAATTATTTATTATAAACCAAGTACTATTCTAACTATCTAATATATGGCTGCATACATCGTAGAAGGCATCTTATCTATCTAGGACTATTTAGATGATTAAATTATAAAAAACAAAAATGTTTCTAAGGTTTTCACGCACATCACTCATTAAATAAAATTAGTTTTAACGGGTTAAAGCACGAAACTTTATTTATTTATTGACGTTTCGCAGCCTTTACAGTGCATCATCAGAATAAAGATTTTTTATTTAATTTTGTCTAGCTACCTTCGAAAGAAGAAAAGTCTTTTATTTAAAAAAAAAGTTAGTGCTTGTCAGAGGATAAACTTACGTTAGGTATAGGTACTTAAAGATTTATTATTAAATCTATGATTATATCTTTGCCATAAACAATAACTATAAACACTCCGTAATTTATTTATCCCAGGTACGTTCTCAACTAACATTCGAACTTTTTTCTATTTAAGCAAACTGTTGAGAAAAAATAAAATTTATCAAATAACATATAACTCAGTCGGAATTTTAATACAATTGAAACATTAATTTTCTGATATTTCTATCTAAGAAACAGACGCCTTTAAGCAATCAATAAACTTTTAGGAAGTCACAAGAATCCCTGCATAATTCAGGAAATGCCGGTATGTGTCAGTCATTCATTCATTGATTTTGATAACTCACCTTTTCCTTGGTATGACACTTTTCACTTTTATGACATTACGAGCACGAACACTAATTACATTTTCGCTTTTTTTATCACTTAATATTTTATTTACACCGTTACCAGATGGAACTCCGTTGTTTTTCGCGTCTCTAGGCATCACCGAGCCACTATTTAACGTAGCTGACATATTTACGCGACACCAAGGCAAGATGTGTCCGATTATAGATTTGGGTCGGAAAAGATTGGTACGATTTTTGTAAATCGCGCAGGTTACCGCGCATCTAATGACAGACAGCATCGGCAAAACAGTACGTACACTCGCTAGTAACGCCATCTATATTTTGTTTTTGGAATTATTATGGACGCTTTCAAAAAGCTTGCTTGTAAGCATCAAGCGTCATGCTTTCTGTCTTAGTAGTTAAATATTACATCGGTAGAAGGCGCAACTTTAAATGTAGAGCTCCAAATGTATGTAGAAAGGGTAAAGTTAGCTAATGTTAAGCATTTTTACTTAGCTAATTTGCTCTATAAGTTTGAGTACATTATCAAAATACATAAATAAGTATTATATACTGTACTTCTAGTATTAAGCAGGGGCTGATTTAGAGTTCTACCGCCCTAGGCTAACTATGAATATGCGTCATACCTATAAAATGACAAAATTATAGGTAAACAAAGCTCTAATTACAACTTTTCTATTTACACTTTTTTCAAATAACCTAAATATATCTCTGAAAAATCAAAATTAACGGCTTCTTGGTTTTTTTTATTATGATCTCCCACAAAAAAAAACTTTTTTTCTCACGAAATTTGGTGAAAACTTACCTTCGGTTGTCCCAAACACTCAAATTAATTCGATTTAAAATATTGATTTTTTACAATTATGTATATAATATTATTTTATTATTGCGAAAAAAAACCTTATTTTCAATCGAAAGATCTTCCGTCAAAAAGTGGATTTTCATATAAGTTTGGTGTGCTTTTTGTTCTTGAACATTTTTTTTCGATGGTATACAAAAACAAACATATAAAGGAAAACCTTTACAGAAAATTTAAATGCGTCGTTATGATTCTCCTAATATTAAGTGTGGGGAATGAGCTTATCGTGATTTTCGGAAAAACTACAACTTGTATAAAAAAAAAAAATATGGCAATATTGTAAGTGATCGAAAGATTTACAACTTTTGTACTTATTCACTCCTTTTTCACACAACAGTTTTTTAATATGTCTGAGAACACACGCCTTTTCTCTAAATTAATATTGCGGCGCTGAAGTGAGACTTATTTAAAAGGTATAGGTATTGAAGTAACAGTTTTTTGTTTTTTTTTTATAGATAGGTCCGACAAATGACTCCGCCCCACCTGATCTTAAGTTAAGGTGAAGTCCAGACACGAAGATAGCTGATACAGCAGCAGTGGTGGCGCTAGACCACATGTGGACGTCGGCGACATCAAGTTCGCGAGGCCTATTTTAAATCGCAGTAAAAAACCGTTAAATTAAGTGAGTCAAATAATAAAATAACGTATGAGTAAACGAGTTTTATTGTTGATAATCAAATGATGACAAAAATAATTACAAACATAGAAATTTAATTACAAAAATAGTGTTACCAGACAGACGATTCTGAATACCCGTAAAGTACTACTCGCTTCCATCACGCACGTGTTCGAAAATAATAAAAGTCATTATCATCTGCTTAGCTTTTTAGCTTAGCCAGGCCAGGAGAAACGAAAATAAATAGGTAACTTGTAAAAAAATTTTGCGAGGCCCCCTCAGGCGCGAGGCCGTCGGCGGTGGCCGACGTAGCCGACGCCTAGCGCCGCCACTGTACAACAGTTGTACCTGCCACATCAGCCATCCTCACCCTGCCGGCCTGCATGTTGCTTCTTCACGCCTCTTTTAAAGGATCCCAGGTTGTAAGAGGGAAGGGAACAATATTTAAGAATTATGTTTGTTATATAAAAATGTAGTGTATTATTATTTATTATTACGGTATTTAAATTAAGCACTTATTTTAGTTTGTCAAAAAGATTTTGAGGCATTAGAAATTACAAGATTTACAACATAATTTTACTTTTACAGTGCGTCTTCGCTTTGATTCAAAGAAATTACATAGCATCTTAAATCGTTAACTGCTGATAATGCCTAGGCGTGTGACAAAATCGGAGTTGACTCATCTTCTTATTGATCATTATCACTTAGGGCCTCTTGTTGTGTGTTATTCACATTCTCATTGAATTTTATACTGTGCCACATTGTCATCAATGGAAGAATATCCAGGGAAACCCTGTACACATTTGACAATGACATTTCGGACTCGCAAACGATACGAATTCGATATTGGTTCGTGCTAGGGGTACTGTAGCCCTAGCACGAACAATTTTTTTTTTCCAACACACACCAATTAGCCTAGCCCCAAAGTATGCACTGTAAAGGCTTACGAGTATGTTATGGGATACTAGGGTAACGGATAGAATACATATATTGTACATATATAATTATATTTATATGAAATACATATTAATCATTGGAGTGCAAATGCTCGTAGGTATTCATCACACAAACATTTGCCCCCACCGGAATTCGAACTCGAACCGGCTGAGCTCGATGGCGCAAGTGGTTAGCACGTTCCACTAGCGATCGTGAAAGTTAAGCAATTTTCGCAATGGTGGTTCATTGGATGGGTGACCAAAAACTTTTTATCTCGAGCTCCTCCGTGCTTCGGAAGGCACGTTAAGCCGTTGATCCCGGCTGTATCTGCAATAGGGATGATGATTATTTTTTTTTCTTCGTTTATCAGGTAGATTATCAAAAAGTATTGGACACGTATTTCTTATTTTTTCACATAACATAAACATTGCAGAGATATATTGATTTGAAACGTCGCATGACGTCACGTTTTGGTACAATTTTCACTTAAAAGTGACGTCACGAGCCCCTACTCCCAAATTTTGACGCGCTATTTTGTCATTTTTTGGTTGATTGCCCAAAGAAAAAATACGTGTCCATTATTTTTTGATCATCTAACTGACGGACTAAATAGAATTTCGTTTACTGTACCCCGTCACCACCCCTATTCTGGAGGCAGTCGTTAGAGCCCACTAATCTGCAATAGGCCTGCGTGGTGGGACACGGCCAAAACTCGCTAATCAATCCATAAGGAAAGCTTGTGCCTCAGCAGTGGGAATATTAATTAGGATAGTGGTACACATGATGAACTTTTAGTAGGAATTATGGATTCGGCACACAGTACGAGTAGATCCTGGAATGAATTTTTATCACATAATAAAAAAATCTACAATTCTTTAATGAAACAAAATAAAAAGGCTTTTCTTTTTTAATAAAATATTTTAATAACCTACTCTTTCACTTGTACAAATTAGATACACAATAATTTTATACTCAGGGTACAGTACAGTTCAAGGAGAGAAATACGTATTTAAAGCGTAAAAGTTCTGGCTATTAGCATCACCAATATGATTTAATTCTATTTATATTATCATAAAGATTATTATAATAAATAAATTAAAAACTAAGAAATGCAGCGTGATATTATAAGTATATCGTGTCCAAGGGATTACACACAATGAGGGCTATCGTTTTTTGTCTCACCAGATGGCGCCACTGTTGAGTGAGGTCCTGAAGTGTAACTTTTAAAGTTAGTAAACACGCTCGTGATATCAAAGTTTACATTTTAATACAAAAGAATCGTATCTTAAACATAATCGCCCATGCCACAGTGTTGCGCAGTCCCGTTTTGTTCGGAAAAAAGAAGGACAATATTTTTTCTTAGCTCCGCTTTTAAATAACTGACAATCATTGACACGTAACTCATATTTGCCATAATAAGTCTGATTTATTACCAAATATACACAACTATTATTTTAATTAGAAAAAAACCGCGTAGTCAACCCGCAAGCTATAACATTTGACATTTCGGAGACCTCACGCAACACAAGCGCCTCCAGCGGCGGTTTCAGACACTTGCGGGACGAAGCTTTTACTACTAAGCACAAAAATTCACAGATATCGTGCTGCACACGACTTGAAAGGACATTGAAAATGAATCTACTTATTAAAGATTATTCAAAAAAATAAATAAAAAATACAAATCATGTTTGTAATATATTTTTATTTCCCATCACGGGCCGCGCAAAGCTCGCGGCTAAGGGCTTCTACAGCTTTAACCGTCACCAATATCGAAAAATGTGTAATGACCTAAAATGTTCCTTGGTTCAATACCGAGGTGCTATTTTTCATATTTTTGAAATTCGACCCCGTTCTCCCGATATTGGAAATTTTCTGTGAAAACACCCGATTTTTCGGTAGAAAAAAGTCGGTACTTTCGATTTCCAAAAAAGATGAGTTTTCAAAAATAATTATTACATCTTCTTTAAGCCCTTCAAATACCGCGTCTTTTGAGCACTCATACGTTTTATAGCCCTAAACCACTATATCACTTACTATTTCAGCAAAATGGGCGCCTACTGGAGCGAACGAAAAACCATTTTCTATTGTAAGTACGCTCCTTCAGTTGCACGCTACACAAACAAATTTATCGTCTCCCAAAACCGGTTTGATGTTTGTCAAAAATAGGGATGATGACTATTTTTTTTCTTCGTTTATCAGGTAGATTATCAAAAAGTATTGGACACGTATTTTTTCTTTTTTCACATAATATAAACATTGCAGAGAAATATTGATTTGAAAATTCGCATGACGTCACTTTTTACAATTATATTAAACAAGTACAATTATCACTCAAAAGTGACGTCACGAGCCCCTACTCCCAAACTTTGACGCGCTATAACTTTTTAACATTTTTTGGTTGAATGCCCAAAGAAAAAATACGTATTTTTTGATCATCTAACTGACGGACTAAATAGAATTTCGTTTACTGTACCCCGTCATCACCCCTATTGCCAGTTAAGCTGTCGTCTATCGTCCCGCAGCTCGATAGTTCGCTGCGACAGAATTAATTCAAATTTTGAAGGCAAATTTTTGTGCATTATGTACGAAAGCTTCGTCTCGCAAGGTTGGGATAAGCTTGAGCATCAAGTTCATCGCATAGTCAGTTATTTTACTAACTTAATCGATGTTCGTTTATAAGTACACTTGCACTAAAGTTCTTAAATTAATTTAAAAGCTAACTAAGTTTCTCGTTCTATCTCTATTTAACTTTAAGCGCATGACAAAGATAGAGTTATGTGTAAAACAGGATTAAAACCTTTAGGTATTTGAATTAAGAGAAATTTGGTGCAAGTGACTTATCAAATGTGCCTACGAGTTACAAAAAACAAAGCATTTTAATTATAAAACAAATTAAAGACAAAATAAAATACAAACACTTCTAAAGCCAATCCTATACAAATATGTATTTTGATTCTTTCAGTATACAGCATATAATTCGTAGTTACAACCTCTTCAATTATACAGAATGTTACAAAAATACAAATAAAGCTTGAAGGGCGTTGAAGTACATCATATAAGGAGTGTTCTCTAATTTTCTTAAAATATTTGCAAGAAGTTTGAACTTTTTATAAAAACAGTTGTTTTTAATGATTAATAAAAATATCGATCATTTTAAGACACGTCACTAGTTCAAGGTCATGCACCTTACCAGGAGTAATGATAAATCTGCTGTAATAAAGAAAATTAGAGAAGATTCCTTATATGATGTACTTCAACGACCTTCAAGATTTCAATATTTGTATTTTTGTAACACCTGTATAGATTATGAAGAAAAAGTTGCTATGTATAAAGTTATCAAAGTTATTAGGGAATTACATTACGCAAAACTACATCTAAGTCAATAATTTAAATTCGTACCGCAGTCTTACTAAATATCTAAGCACCTATTGTGTACCCATGGACGTATAAAAAAGGTCTTTTTTTATACGTCCATGCGTGTACCTTATATTATTTGCGAAGCAGTCTATTTACAAATAAAGGTTTTTATATCGATTAAGCAAAATCATGTTGTTAATCGTACAACTGTATTTATATGAGGGGTCCATATAAACCAGTTTGTTTTATTCCTTTTTTCATCACAGTTTTTTGACCTATGATAATACCGTGGAATACCGTAAGAAAATGCTTTTGACATCTTCTAGGTTCGACGAGTTACAATCAAAATCACTGTTGAACAGTATTCGTTACCTACAGAAATTCCATTCGGATTCAGCGCACCGCAAGGTTTTAAACTTTTCGTTTTCAGTAAGTTTTCTTTTAAATTATTAATATTCAAAGAAAAACATTTTTAACTAAACTGGCACTCACAAATAAAATGATGACAATAGGGTATTTGACAAGTTTTATAAAAAGATCTCACGTTATTGACTAATGTTTATGGAGTCCGTAAAAAGTGGATATTCATCATTCTGTTGTGTATTTCAGTTAAAATGACCAAATCAAAAACTCCATTTTCAAGTTGCCTCGAAAACGTTTCTTTGGACAATATGGCGTCTCACTGGTCTGTGACGTCACACGACTGTTATTAAAACGTCAAACGATAAAATGTAATGTCACTTTAACCGGAAGTTTACTTGCGTGCGACGTTATTTTAGGCACCGCCAATCCCAAGCGTTTTGGGTCACGTGACAATAGATAAGAAAACTATTATCTTTTTCGTGGGTTTTTAGTAAAATTATGAATATTTTTTCTGTAAAAATAGTGAAAATCCCTGCCAATATTCATTCTAAACACAGATGCTAACAATTGGCACTTTATTTTTAAAACTGTCAAATACCCTATCAAACTTAAAAATTTATAAGCAAATCTTTTGAAATGAATAAGTAAATTATTATTAGATTATTGTCTTTCAGATATCATTATTTGCTATTTTATTTACGTAAAATTTAAGTACTTTTGTCGATTAACTCAATTAAACTCAATGAACCCTGATGGCTGACGTGATTTTCCTTCGGTCAACAATTCTATAGATTAACGGGTTGCATACAAAATCAAAGCTTAAAACTGTCCGCGTATGTTTAAACTTACGTAGCTACATTCGATTCCCAATGAACAAAGATAAATGTTTTAATACAGTTTAAGTTGAACCTAATAACAACCATCTTACAAAGGAATAAGGTATACAAATAACAAAATGTTATTTCGCATTACGACCTTTTTCTATATATATATATAACTCAAAGGCGACTGACTGACATAGTGATCTATCAACGCACAGCCCAAACCACTGGACGGATCGGGCTGAAATTTGGCATGCAGGTAGATGTTATAACGTAGGCATCCGCTAAGAAAGGATTTTGATCAATTCTACCCCCCAGGGGATAAAATAGGGAATAAAAGTTTTTATGAAACTTTGTCAATTTTAAACCGATCGGGCTGAGACTTTGCATGCAGGTATAAGAAGAATCATAGATGAATGACATTGTGTTTAATACAAGCCTGAGAACAAAAACTGTAGTCTACACTTCAGCTCTACACCGAAGCGAGCGAGGACGGGCCGCTAGTTATCATATAAAACCAACTTGTTCCTTTAATAAATTTTATCTGATACTTGGAAAAAAACAATAAAGGTAAAAAAAAGGAAAATGTGAAATCAACCTTATGACCCACAAAATAAAATATTTTTACCAATCATTGGCCAGCGAGTTACTTCGTTTTGTATTAACCGAACTAATTTAAAATAAGATCTCACGCCTCAAGTGAGGCTATATTTACCGAGACGGATTTTACGCGCTGACCAGTACCCCTAGCACGAACCAATATCGAATTCGTAACGTTTGCGAGTCCGAAATGTCATTGTCAAATCTGTACTGATTTTTAGTTCTCATAACGTACTTTGTGCCGCTACTGTTCAAGTTTCCATACAAAATTTGACAAGCACTACGGGACATTGGCGACATTTCTGTGTGAAACGGAAACAGCCACAGAACAAAAAAAAAGAATCCTTTGCCCGTCCCAATAGGGACAAATTAACAAAAAAAAAATTGACATTGACATTTCGGTTTGCAAACTTTTCGAATTCGATAATGGTTCGTGCTAGGGGTACTGTTTCTATAGAATTGTTGATCGACATGATGTCCCGTATGTCAAAAGGTCAAAAGGTTGTATTGTAAATGCATTCAATAACAAAAACTAATTCTATTAGCTATGGACGAACAAGAGTTCAATGGACATTTTGTTTAAAACTAATATAATGTTAAAGTACTAACTTAAGTTTTAAACTTGGTACGTCGTACGTAGCCTTTTTCATTTGTTAATCCTACTAAAAATTTACAAAGTTTATGGACGCGATTTTTATTTTTTTTTAAAGTTAAATTTCAACTTGTTCAGATAAAAAATTACGGGAGAAGCCTGTGGTACTCCGCAGATTTCTTGTTCTTCTCTATTATGTAGAAAGATTTGGGTTTCCCGTTGCCAGAGAAGTATTTCCTGAAGGAGGTTTTCTTGGCTGGCACGTAATAAGCTAATCCGTCAATGGAGTTAGGGTGGTTGACTTTTGGCCAAGTCGGTGTGCTTTCTACATCAACGATATCGTCATCAAATCTGGCTTGAGGGCGGTTCTTCGCCATCTTGTGGAGGACGGGTATATTCCAGTGGTATACCCTGGCCGGTTTCCCATTGCTGGTCATCTGGAGTGGGAGAGTTCTCGCCGCAGCTGGGGCAGGCTCGGCGTGGCTGTAGTAGCTGGTGTTTGGCGGTAGTTTGATGACGAACATTCTGGAGTCGCCGCTGGCGTGTCTCCTGCCTTGCTCGGCCAGCCTTTTCCTGTGATGGGCAGCTGGTATCCTCAACTTCTTCAGTCCTAGCGAGCTGAGCAGGTCATGTGTAGTCGGCTCCTTGTCGGTTAGGTTGTTGTCGTGGCTGGATGAAGATGATGGCGCGGTGTATGTCGCTGCGATGGTCATCAGCAGAATTGCGATACTGTAACAAAAAGGAAATGTGCTGTTAGAGAGGTCTATACTAACTGTTTTTACAAGTATATGGCTGTCGAGATAGTCCAGCTACGGAGTCTATGGAAGGCCATAAGTCTTTATAGTAGGCAATAAAAACATTGGCTACACCTGGGAAGTTGCCTATCCTGACTAACAGAAACACAATATCACCAAAGGTTAGGTTAGGTGGAGTTTACACCCTCAGACGAGAACCGTTGTCGCCGGCTCGCCCGCAATACATTTCTACCTAACAGATAATAGCCAATCAAAAGACGCGGCATAAAACAATCCAACCAATCGGCGTTCACACTAATGTAAGTTTATAAGTTTTTGACAGCTATTTGCATCTGTATATATATTTCTTTGGTGGTAGGAATATTCATAAAATTGTAAGTTCTCTGCCCTGACTTTAAGCTGCTTTTAACAAAGTTTGTGAAAACATTATATAATTATTTTTAACAAAGTTTCTGTAAACATTATATAATCATTGCATAAGGATAGCATGTTAATTACATATTATTCAATCTGCGAGATCTTAAGATTAATCACCTTAAAATATGATAAGTTGTTCATTTCATTTGGCTCGAAGGATTATATAGGACTAGCTATTTAAGTAAATAAAACATCGAAATCTGTGATCGCAAAGGTTCTCAATTTCAAAATAATATTGAACTTAAGTGTATTCAAAAAACAAACTAAATACCGTGATTCAGAACTTGCATAGAAAAATATTAAACATTACAGTAACGCCATCTATCGGTGACTTTGATAATTAAATAATATTAGTACAAACTTAACAATGATTATTACCGTATGAGACGAGACGTCCCAAGTAAAATTCAATTAACACACGCCGTGCAAGCTTCGAGAGAGCTTTTAGTCTTACAAGCCGGTATAATGAATCGTAAAAAGGCAAACATTCATTTAAGACCTGCCTCGCCACAAAACTGTAAACAATTATCATACATTTAAACAGGCTTTATGTTTAAACGCCGCTGCGCTACAACTTCGTTTAACGTCCTAAATTCCTAGCTTTATAGGCGGGGCGAATCGCCAGATTTGTTCGTTGGAAGTAGTCACTTAAACCTAGGGCTGCCATCTCTAAAATGTGGCAACCAGGATAAGACGCGTGATAACCCCGGATTTTGAAGCCCAGAACCCGGACAGACCAATAAAAAAACAGTTAAAAATGTCACAAATCAATTTTTTTTATGTTGATCTAGGCAAAAGAGCTAGCGGTCTACCTCATAATAAGTGGTCACTGCTGCTCATGGACACTTGCAGCACCAAGGGCCACTCATGCGTTGCCCTAAATTTTTAAACCCGGACTACAAATGAAACCCCACCCGGACGCTCCCCGGACGCCCCGTAAACTAGGACAAATCCGGGGAAACCCGGACGGATGGCAGCCCTACTTAAACCACATAATAGGCAGTACAGAGGGTATTCTACATACAGAGTGTGGTTGAGCAACGCACACAAAGACAGTGGTACATGGACAAGATTTCACGGACCAGTTCAGACCGCTGCAGACACGCGTCTGTGAAAAAAAGTTTCATGTGCAAAAAAAATTAATGTGCTAAATTGGATAAACATTAAAACAAGTTGATATATCTGTTCAGTAGACGGTTGTTTAAATTCAACAGTCATCATCATCATCAGCCTATTAATGTCCCCACTGCTGGGGCACAGGTCTTCCCTATGGATGGAATAGGGAGATTGGGCCATGACCCACCACGCGGGCCCAATGCGGATTGGCGGGTGCTAACGACTGCTGATGCAGCAGGACCAACGGCTAAACGTGCCTTTCGAAGCACGGAAGAGCTCGAGATAGTAATTTTTGGTCACCCATCCAATGACCGACCACTGCGAAAGTTGCTTAACTTCAACGATCGCAGCCGCTAACCACTTACACCATCGAGCTCCTCAATTCAACAGTAAGCGGTGAATTGTCGTTTTAGGGTTTCGTACCACGTAAGGAAAAAACGGAATCCATAAAGGATCACTTTGTTGTCCGTCCGTCAGTCTGACAAGACCCTTTTTCTCAGGAACGCGTGGAGGTATCAAGCTGAAATTTATTACAAATATTCAGGTCTACAGTCCCTTGAAGCTCTGAAAAAAACAAACTTCTAAGCCCACGCAATCAAAAGATAAAGCTGTTTATGCCGCAAATTTTCGAAACTTGCACTAGGGATGTCGAAAGTTGAAAAAAATATCGATACATCGATCTTTTAAAAAATATCAGTATCGGCTTCGATATATCGCGAAAAAGACATCGATATATCGGACCAATTTTCACAAAAATATCGTACAGTAGCTCACGAAATATGACACGCGGAATAATAATGGAACGAAAATTATCTCCCTAAAAATAGACCCTATTTTCGAATGATGACATAGACAATACTAAATACAGCACAGATCAAAGATATGTTGAATATCATTAATCTGAGATCCAGTTACGATTTTTCCAGATACGAATTTAGTTAGATCGTGATATGCCGCTAATAATTAAAAAAATATCGTTTTTGATACGAATTTCGATATTGGTTATTTTGTATCGATGTATCGATATATCGAATCAAAATATATCGGCGAAAAATATCGATATATCGAACAAAAAATATCGATATATCGATACATCGATATATTTTCAACAAGCCTAACTTGCACGGGTATCAAAACCCACAGGGTACTTCCCGTGAACTCAGAATCATCAAGTATGAAGCAACGTCTTATAGCACGGCTAGAGGAAAAATTGCGAAAAGCGTAATTTTTTGTTATTTATTTATCTTTAACAAAGTTTCTACAGCAGATTTTTGTGAAATTTAATACAATAAAATATAGATATAATCTTCAGGCCAATTACAGAAACTCATTATGTACACATTAGATATTAACGGCGTTATTATATGTCAGTAATTATTACATTTAATTTCATTTAATTTTTAATATAACAACAACATTAATTTATTTTGGGTATTATCTCTTATCTATTAGACAAGTCCGTCCGTCTGTCCGTGATGCTGTTTCAGCGGCCAAACCGTAAGAGATAGATAAAGAGAATATTTAAGTTATAAGTTAAGAATAGTCTGATAAGACTACAAACCGGATTTGAGTAATGTAGCACTTCCGGTTTTCGAGAAATCAGGTTATGGTGAACATTTGGTTCACTGGTTTGCTAGTCTTTTATCTATTAGACAAGTCCGTCTGTCTGTGGTGCTGTTTCAGCGGCCAAACCGTAAGAGATAGATAAAGAGAATATTTCAGTTATAAGTTATGAATAGTCTGATAAGACTACAAACCGGATTTGAGTAACGTAGCACTTCCGGTTTTCGAGAAATCAGGTTTTGGTGAACATTTGGTTCACTGGTTTGCTAGTTGGTTTACTAATTTCATATGTACGTTTACCTAAAATCTCCAATCATACAAAAAGATCAATAATTCGCGTTTGCAAACCACTTATGTTCTCTTACGCATAAAAAGCTTTAACGCAATGCTGCAGCTATTGTTGAATATTCTTGGAAGCGTCTGCTCATACGCAATCCGCATAACGTGCTTTGCATAAACGACCAATGCAAATTATGACAAACAACCTGCATGTTAACAAATTACAATATTTAATACCCTAGATACACCACGAGCTCTCAAAATGTGTCCCGATCAAGAAGTGCTTGAACTCCACTGAAGTACTTCTTGGTTCACAGTCACGCGCGGACCGTTACAAAGTTAAGATGACATAGAGCTTCGCGAAAAAATGCGAAAATAATACTTAGAGTACGAAAAGTGTCGTTTTTTCGACAGGTATCTAGTCAATGTTTGTTAATTTAACGCATTTGAAGTAAATTTTGATCTGATACTTACTATACACTGATTTAATATAAAATATTTGTGATATTCAAATGCATGGTCGGTTATACGTCGCCATATAGCCGTCTCTTTTCCTCGCGGTCTGTGCCTGGTATATTGCTGCTGCGTTCAGAATTGCGCGTAGAGTCAAAGAACTAAGGTTTAAATTCTTTCGCATATAGCAATGTCGTAAAATTTTACCAACTTACATTTCGAACTGCCAGAAGTCCTTGATGCATGCGTTTTATTTAAGACCTTATACAGTATGTATTAAAGGTTAATTTCAATATTTATATAATGCCTTATATTGATTTTACTACGCGATCATCTTACGGAGCTCCGTGGATTGTTCAATGTACCTTTTGGACAGTTTTCGGGCACGATTTTGTTCGTGTTGGTATATCTAGGGTATATAATATCGTTGAAGCTATATTTATCACACCCCTGTATGAAATAGAAGAACAGTAAGTACTATTTTCATTGAATGTTTAAAATCCACAAACTGATTTTAGAAGCATATTTACAGACACCACTAAAAGTGAATTGTCGACCAAATTGGCCTGTCGTAAAATTCCTTGGCCTGAATCCATCCATATATATACGGAGAGGTAATGAACAGCAATTTTCGCCTACCATAAAACGCTAGTAAAATCGTAAAATCACAGTATAAGCGCAAAAATAAAATAGAGAGTACTACAGATTGTATGTATGTTTTATTTCTAATGGCTTCGCACGGCTTGTGCATTTAGCCAATGTCAAGTGTTAAAATGTTTACAAATTCTATAGCACTCGTGGTCAAAGTAATAAATCAAGTCAAAGTAAGTGGCAGTCAAGTCAACCCCCCTTTCCCTATGTTTCAGTAAATGTGTGGGGATTTACTGAAACCTCCCCGTGGACTTCTTGAGGGAACGTCGAAGGACACTTTCCGCTATTTTGTTTCACTTGCCAACACTTGTGCATGTTCCCGAACACTTAGTGGTTAATAATCCAACATTATTAGACAGTGACACCCGCTACAACACAATTTTTAACAAGAAAAACACAAACTGCTGAAGTATCGCTTTTCAAACCCGCCAAAAAGTCATGTATGTATGTTAATCACTGGATATCTACGCTCGGCATAG